AAGATTCAGAGTACCACTATTTGCCATCAACTATATATCATGTCAAAGAACAAAGTAGGCTTAAAGATTATTAAGTAATTTTATCACACAAAAGAATCAACCAGCACCACTTGTCTTGGAAGAATTTACCAACTCTTGCTAAGGCCTAACCACAATGTGACAGCTTCTATAAACTGCATAGAAGTACTAGGTTCTCCCATTCAAAAGAAAAAGATCAAAGAACTAGAAATTTTACTTGCAAATTTGATAAGAAAAAAGAAACTGCGCTTGTGTGAACATCACGAAGATAATACTTTCCAGCTAGCGTTACTTAGTACAAAGGACAATCCCCGACAATGATATCATCAACCCAAACTTTCTAACAATCCGGACCAAGTGGAACATGATCATCTAATAACGCATTCGGATCCGTTGATGCAATCTCAGCATTTGCAACAACTACACCTGATCCATTCCAGTGTAACATCTTACATTGGTAACCTAGTAGATTTTCTGAAATAGGACTTGGCACGGCATTAGACTGAAAACCAGCACTAGCATTTTGGGACTACAATTCAATCAAAACACAGAAATAGGAGTCCAGATTTTATGGTTAGAAATCATACCGAAATAAAAAGAGGAAAAACTTGTATGTTTATAAATTATAAAATATTAAACGACAATACTTATGATGACAGTTATAAAATTCCTAATAAAGATGTTTTAATAAATCGAATACAAGATAGAAAATGATTTTCTAAATTTGACTACAAATCAGGATTTTGGCAAATCCGTATGGTTGACAAATCCATTGAATGGACTGCATTCATATGTCCTGAAGGACATTATGAATGGTTTATTATCTCTTTTGGATTAAAAAAAAAAATGCGCCATAAGAGTTCTAACGAAAAATGGATACCATATTCAATAAACATTCAAAATTCTATTGTGTTTACATAGATGATATTCTGGTTTTCAGTTAAACTAAGGAGAAACATAGAAAATATCTTAAAATTATACTAAACGAATTTATAACTCAAGGACTCATTATAAGTAGTAAAAAGATGATACTAGAAAAATACGAAATCGAATTCTTAGGTTTATTCATAAAAGGCGGAAAAGTAGAATTACAATCACATATTGTTTAAAAGATTTTAAATTTTCCTGATAAATTAGAAGAAACCAAATTATTACAAGTATTTTTAGGATTATTAAATTACGGTCGCAATTTTATTCCAAAATTAGGACAATTAGTATGACCATTATACTCTAAATTACGAAAAAAATAGTCAAAAATATTTTAATACTCAAGACATAGAACTAATTAAGAAAATTAAATCTTTAGTCACTCAGTTAGAACCTTTACAACTCCTACTTGAAAATAGTTATAAAATAATTCAAACAGATGCATCAGCACAAGGATGAACAGGTTTACTTCTTCAAAGACCTTTAAAAGAATCTTCTTGAGAAAAAGAACAAATTTGTCGCCATGCTAGTGAAACATTTAATAAAGCACAATCTACTTTACCATCAACAGCTCTAAAAATTTTAAGAGTAACAAACTCTATTGAAAAATTTCAGATATTCCTTAATAAAGAATTTATTATAAGAACAGATTGTGATAACATAGTTAAATTTGCAAACAAAGCAAAGCAATAGAGAATATTTACAAAAAGATGGATTTCTTTTATTGACTATATTACTGGAAGAGGTTTTAAACCCATATTTGAGCATGTCAAAGGAAAAGAAAATTACTTAGCAAATATTCTATCTCGTTTACTAATTAATTATTAATTTCTACGCAGTAATGGAGAAGAGTAGTAACAACAGCTATAGCCTTATACCGGGTAGTCATAATCCTCTTTTAATTATCCAAAACCCAGCTCAACAGTTCCGCGCTAGACATAATCTTTTTCCTGGCCAAAAACTTATTTTAGATAATATTTGGTTTTTTAGAAATAATCATGATAAAACCCTCGTCAGAAATCTAAATACTTTAAGTGAGTATTTTATAACATCTAACAAAGCATATCATACTCTTCAGAAAGAACATGAGATACTTATATCTCATTTTAAGAAGTTAAATTTAGCATATCAAAATGCGACAGCAATTGTTTGCAAATTTAACTATGTTATCACAATCTGTTCTTATAATAAATTTTTTATTAAGGAATATCTGAAATTTTTCAATAGAGTTTGTTACTCCTAAAATTTTTAGATTTGTTGATGGTAAAGTAGATTGTGCTTTATTAAAGGTTTCACTAGCATGGCGACAAATTTGTTCTTCTTCTCGAGAAGATTCTTTTGTAGGTCTTTGAAGAAGTAAACTTGCTCATTCTTGTGCTGATGCGTCTGTTTGAATTATTTTGTAACTATTTTCAAGTAGAAGTTGCAAGGGTTCTAACTGAGTGACTAAAGATTTAATTTTTTTAACTAGTTCTATGTCTTGAGTATTAAAATATTTTTGACTATTTTTTCCTAATTTAGAGTATAATGGTCATATTAATTGTCCTAATTTTGGAATAAAATTACAACCGTAATTTAATAATCCTAAAAATACTTGTAATAACTTGATTTCTTCTAATTTATCAGGAAAATTTAAAATCTTTTAAACAATATGTGATTGTAATTCTACTTTTCCGCCTTTTATGAATAAGCTTGAGAATTCGATTTCTTGTTTTTCTAATATCATCTTTTTACTACTTATAATAGTTCTTGAGTTATAAATTCGTTTAGTATAATTTTAAGATATTTTCTATGTTCCTCCTTAGTTTAACTGAAAAGTAGAATATCATCTATGTAAACACAACAAAATTTTGAATGTTTATTGAATATGGTATCCATTTTTCGTTGGAACTCTTGTGGCACATTTTTTTAATTCAAAAGGCATAACAAACCATTCATAATGTCCTTCAGGACATGTGAATGCAGTCCATTCAATGGATTTGTCAACCATACGAATTTGACAAAATCCTGATTTGTAGTCAAATTTAAAAAATCATTTTCTATCTTATATTCTATTTATTAAAACATCTTTATTAGGAATTTTATAGCTGTCATCATAAGTATTGTCGTTTAATATTTTATAATTTATAACCATACAAGTTTTTCCTCTTCTTATTTCAGTATGATTTCTAACCATAAAATTGGACTCCTATGTATTGAAATTAAATTTGATTATGGATGGTATTTTATATACACGTGTTCTTTAATTCATGGGCTGGTATTTTATAATTCACCTGTTGTTTGCGGACATATTGAAGTAGTCCAACCCATGAGTTAAAGAACACGAATCTAAGGCTAGATTTGAATTCAATGTATAATCCAAAAATTAGGAGGAATTTTATTAAGTTTCACAATCTTGAAAAAATCATCAAAAGAAGCCTTAAAGAATAATAAACTTTACGAATCACAATTCTCAAAAACAGCTTCCCTTTTGGATGAGGAGAATATCCATTTTAGAACAGAACAAATCAGATTTCATCCTCCTTTTTTCTGGGAAAAAAAAAAAAAAAACCTTTCTGTTTCCAAAAAAAATGGTTTTAGAAAATAATAAATCAAATAAATTTTTGTAAAGTTTATTTTTTTATTATTTTTTAGATTTTTAAAAATAAAATGTTGTTGCCAAAAAGATGTCAACGAAAAAAAAATCCCAACCCCTCTAGATTGATTTCAACCGTGAAACTAGAAAGGGTAAAAAAGAAAACATAAATTGGCCGACCCTTCCATTGATTCCCTTCTTTTAATGGCGTTAAATGGTCCCTTTCAGTGGTTGCTATGATTTGTCCTTTTTAGAGCCTTTAGTTTTGGTGCAGAAAGGATGTCTGGGTTGACCCCAAGTCAAGATCTCTTTGCAAATGCTTCAAGTTGATTTTTAATCCATCATTTAATTTTCTATCTGTCATCTTTGACAGATACAAGTTTTTAAATGCCTAAAAAACCTGTTTAATAATGTTTCCTTTTTTAACTATGTTTTCAGAAAAATGGTTTTAAAAAAAAAGAATAGTAAATCAAATAAATTTCCCTACAGTTTTTTATTTTTCAAAATTTCTGAAAATAGAATGTTGTTAAAAAAATCTGAACCAGAATAGGCCTTACCTCCCAAATTTTAACAGTTAGATTAAATGGGTTGTATATCATGGAATGGAGAAAAAGAAAACATGAATTGATGGTATTGAATTGAAGTGGCTGCTATGTCATAGGTTTAGTGGGCTAAAACTTTTATCCCTTCACTTGCGGTGCAGAATGGTTCTATGGCTTGACCCCAAGTCAAGAATATCTTATCAAATAATCAAGTTTCCCTCCAATGATTATGAGAGTAGGTAGGGAATTAATAATAGAAAAAACTCTAAAAGTTGATCCAAGTCTGTCGGAATTTTTTAAATAAATAAAAATTATATATTGCTCGGCAATGGCATCTCGTGGAGGGGAGACCTTTTTTTCGAGGATGCATTCCATGAGTAAAGAATTTACAATGAATTAACAAGTTCTCTATATAAAGATTAATATTTTTTTTTTTCCGACAGCTAAACACCATAAAAACACAAAAAAATATTTTTCAAATTTTTTTTTTTTACACTCAAACCAAGTCTTAAGAAAACAATCAGAAAACAGAGAACTTGTTAATTCATTGTAAATTCTTTACTAATGGAATGCATCCTTGGTACATATATATTAAAATTTAATAAAAATAATTTATTTATTAATTAATTTCGATAACACACAAAGAATGAACTCAACCTCAACCTGAATATATATATATTTTACTTGAAAAAAATATATATAATTTTCTCAAAAAAATATTTTACATCAAACAAACAAATGGAGATTTAAAGTTAATGTTTTTGTAACTCATTACTATTGCATCATTTAACAAGCTCATCCTCAAATGTGAAAGGGGCAAGTGTCTATTATGCATGTATTGAAGATTCAACCCTCTGCACAGCCGTCCATTAGTATCCAAGCACTAGAGTCTAAATCGTGTCAAATAATTATAAGAAATAGGCTACCGTGCCACATACGTTGAGAACTTCCCTTTCATGTTGAAAGATAATAAAAATCTCTGTGTTATTCAAAGATTACAGCATATATATATATTACAAGAGCATTGCATAAGACTAAGTCATACATAGTAGTTTTAGGTCGTGTACTGATTCGGCGGCAATGGAGTACTCAGAGATAGTATTGAGGTTATCATTATTGATGATGTTGGTTTTTGCGAATGGGTGTTATGGCTGCTGGGAGCAAGATAGAATCGCTCTTTTGCAGCTCAAAGCTTCCATCAACTACCCATATGGCTCTTCTTCCTTGCCGTCATGGGAGGACTCAAAAGGTGAAGGAACAACTACTGATTGTTGTCAATGGGAACGTGTTGAGTGTAATCTCACCACGGGTCGCGTCATCAAACTCTCGCTTAATTCTGTATGGTCAGGAAGTCGATTTTTAAACACCTCAGTGTTTCTTCCTTTTGAATCGCTCATAAGCCTAAATTTGAATTGGAATTATTTAGAGGGATGCATTGAGAACGAAGGTCTGCCTAACTTCTCTCTTCTTTTACAAGATGAGACATTTATATTGTTTCTTATATTTTTTTTGCAATATCTTTTTTTTTCCTTTATTTATTATTTACTATTTTGGAACAAATTAAGTTGTGTTACTACTGATGCGCCAAACTACTTTGTAATCTCTTGTAGGTTTTGAAAAACTATCAAGTTTGAGCAATTTACAGATCCTTGATCTAAGTTACAATTCATTCAATAACAGCAACATCCTATCATCTTTAAATGGTCTTTCGTCCCTCAAGACTCTAAAACTACAGCAAAACAAGTTGACTGGGGTAGTTTATATTCAAGGTGAATTTACAGATATAAACATTATTATTATTTTTTTATTTATCATCGTAATAGTAAGGGACAACACGTTTCATGATTCCTAGCTTGGTGATCAGTTTATTGTGATTTAATTCTTTGATTTTTTTATTTTCTGTCTAGATTTTGATAGTTTGAACAGTTTGAAGGAGCTAGACATAAGTGGGAACAAGCTTGACGGTATCGCAACGAGAGAAGGTAAGAATAAGAAAGCCACAATATTAGTCACCCTTTTATGTCAATTAATCAATTGAACTAAGTACCATATTAATTTCCATCATGAATTTGTTGGGTCTTTGATATGATTACACACTATTTTACGTTCAGAAAATAATAATTAAAGTAAAACTTCTATTGGGTGAAGGGGCTTCAATAAAACGTAGTAGTGAATTGAGGTATCAAGATTCAAGACCAAAAAAAAAAAAAAAAGATTCAAGACAAAAACTGCTTTGTATGATCACCTTGAAAACACTATTTATATTTGATGTTGCCTTCTTGTCAATGGAAATACTCACACCGGAAGAGGCACTTAATTTGAAGGAGGAGAATAACACACAACTTTTAAAAAGTCTCAAAATTTGACCTTGATTTTATTTTCTTCTCACTTATTGGTTACAATAGGATGCATGCACGTGTATATATAGGCCTCAATAGACAATTTTTTTTTTTTTCCTTTTTTCATCTCATTTCTTTTTTAGGCCCAGTTTGGTTGGAAGGTATTATAAGAAAAAAAAAAAAAAAAAAAAAAAAAAAAAAAAAGGAAATTGAGAGACTTTAAATATTGTGTTTGGTATGAATTTTTAAAGGAAAGGAAAGGAAAGGAAAGGAAACGGAATGATTCAGAAATAAACAAATTATATATGATGCATTGACTTTGTTAGTTAAAAAATGGGAAGAAATGGAAGGAAAGACTAGTTTTTTTAATAAAATTTTATTAATACTAACTTTGCCCTTATTTTTATAATAACAATCTATGAAAAAAGGTATAATAGTGAATTCATTATAATACTTTCTTCCCCCCCCTCTTTTTTTTTCCTTCAAATATGATTACTATCATTTTCTTTCTTTTTCTTTATTAATCAACCAAACATAATAAGTAATTAACTATATTTTCTCTCTTCATTTATTTTCTTTTCTTACCTAACTAATCTTATCATTTATTTTCTTTTCCATTTTACCAAACAAAACCTTACTTATTTGATTACAATATGATTCATGCACATGCATACATAGGGGCGGACAGTGAGAACCAAGCCCCCTCCCCCACCATCCCCGGACACCCAAATGTTTAAAAATTTCAATAAGATAAACCCACCTCACAAGTCACAGCACTACACACTTTTCCCACTGTATTATACCAAATACCCATGGTACATATCTGTAATTATATCAAAAGTCAAATCTCCACTTTACAAACTGGTCACCTAGATTACGCAATGGTGGCTAAAAAAATGACCACTTCAACTACCATTTAAATCATCAAACAAGCAAATAATCTGTACATCTCTCATTTTCCAAAATTTTTTATTTTTATTTTTTATTATCTATTTCTTCTCTAGTTCTCTTCAACTCTCATAGCATAACAATGAAGAACAAAAAATGGAACATTTCGGATTAGGTGAGTAATTTCTACCTCTAGTTTATACTAAAATAAAGAATTAACATATATAAATTTTTTTTATTATTATTTATTAATTTTTTTTTTTTTGTTGTTTTCTTTAACATACTTGGGGTCACTCACCCACTCTATTCTCCTATGCAGAATTTTTTTTTTTTTTTTTTTTTTTTTTCCTTGACATACTTAGGGTCACTCACTCTATTTTCTTTAACATAGTTAGGGTCATCAAGAGCTTCATTAGAAATAAGAAACTCCATAAGACCAAATGGATAGATTATATTTTTCTTCACCCTCAAGTCGTTACAGGCTATGGCTGATACCTGAGACCACAATTGGTTAATTAGTTTTTGCACTACTAGTCCACTAACCAGCATTCAACTTTCAAGGCAGTAGATTATACTTGATTGGATATATTGGATATATGATGGGGTTAATTTTTTTTGTATGTCATTGTAAAAATTGCTTAATTTTTTTTTTTTTTTTTTTTTTTTTTTGAAGTACTTAATGAATTGAAATGTTTTTAATTTATAAGCGATCTTATAATAGATCATTTTTTAAATTTAGGACTATGTTATGAAATCTATTGTGAAGCAAAAAATATATATATAAATTCTATATTCATGCTATTAATTTTGGCCCCTGCCCTCTAAACGGAACTTTTTGGGTCCACCAGTGTATATATAGGCCTAAATAGACAACTCTACAATCACACAAATTACAATATAATAATTAATCACTAACTTCAACATTAGTCCGCCCCTTGTATAGTTACGATATGATTCATGTACATGTATATATACAGGTCTCAATACACAACTTTACAACTTTACAATCACACAAAATATAATATACGGAGTAATAATTTAAGCACTAACTTCAACATCAATCTTCTTCAACATCAATCTTCTCGCCTTGTAACAAGGTGGTTCATATTTTGGTATACTTTTAAAGTTTCCAACAAACTTGGTTTAGTTTTCCAACACACACCATAAATCCACGACCAACACCAGAGATAGAGTTAGATGACCTCTTTACAAAAGAAAGGTAACTTACTCTGTGTAACGACCCAAATGGGATACCAAAATAATAATAAAAATCTATAAAAAATTTTGGCATGACCTCCGCAGAAAATGTCTCTAAACAACCTGTTAAAATACAAAAAAATAATTACAATGGCCTCCCTGAGCCTTAAATCTAACATATCCTGTCCCAACGCAATATACATATATTATATCATATCTCCAAAGTGACTACATACATACAAAATCCCATTCCTCCATCTCATCCAACAAGGAACATACGTTGGTTATATCAAGTTACAGTCCAAAAAGCGTAGTTAGAATTTAAAAGTCCATGGCTTACAACATTATACTAATTAAACTAAAGTTTTACGAGTTAGTTAATATTACATTTACAAAATATTAGAGAGTTTTAATACAAAAGATAGCAAAAAAAATAAAATAGGTCTCCGTGCTCGTCTAAAATCGTGGTGGATCGTCGTCCGCCACCTCTTTTCCATGTCCTGAAAAATGTTAGAAATAATGGGGTGAGCATAAGCTTAGTAGGAAGTGTCTAAAACACACTTCTTATATCCCCGTGAATCCATACAAGGAATAGATTAAAAGTGAAAGGGATCATGCTATAAGGAAACACACACTCTCAAATACAATAACAAGTATGTAACAAATACCACCCAATCACAAGTTTACCACAATGTCATGAAGTGCAATATGCAAACGTTATTCCCCATTTTCCGAAACATTTCCGTTTCAACTTCCAAAACCGTTAGTGTAATCCGACCCAAGGCACCTCCAAGGCGTCACGAATGGAGGGTTGACTAACTATCCACGACCACAAGGCACCTCCAAGGCGTCGCATCCGGCCTCGTTAGCTCAACCATGATCCCTTCTAGACTACACTAACACCACGGACCACTAGGCGCCTCCTAGGCGTCCGGCTTTCGCAAACTCCTTTAAAAAAATATTTTTTCCAAAATAATTTCGTTTGTTCAAAAAAAAAAAAAAAATATATATATATATATATATATATATATATATTTTTTTTTTTTCCTTTCTCTTTCCCAATGAATGCATGAATGTGCATGTTTCGATTTATCAATTCAACCATAGGCTCTCACACATTTCATTTACATCATTATCACAATTTAATAGAAATTTCTAAGCAATCATTTCTTTTATTTATTTATTGACCATAGCATCATTTTCTTTCAAAGCAATAAATAAATAAAAAATACATAATCTTAGGACATACAATATGTCAACACCAAACATACTCATCACCGTAATAAATCTAGTCATATATATGAATTCAAATAACACATGGAACACATTTAGCATTTTAATTAAACATACTTCAATACAAACTAGATAATCAAAATTAGCATGCATAGGATCAAATTTAAGGGGAAAAATTCACAAAAAAACTAAGAAATTGTAGATTAGAACACCCCTACCTCAATGGAAGTGAAAACTCCCAAAATCCCCAAATCCAAGCCCAAGAACCCTAGAATTTTGAACTCCCTAGAGTGCACCAAATGATGATTGGCTCCTATCAAATTGAAGGCCTTGACGAGCTCTCCAACTTTGCTTCACAATGCTCTACCAAAATCCAAAAGTTTAAAGCTAGATCAAGCTTTGAGATTGCAAAAAGAAAAAGAAGTAGTGAGATGCCGAGAGAGGAAAGATGCAGCAGAGAAAGAGAGAGAAAACAGTTGGGTCGTGGGTCATGTAATGCCTTATACACTTTTTGTGTGTTTTAAAACATGGGTGGGGCCCACTTGCTTTATTTCTTTTTCTTTTAGCATTATATATATATATATATATATATCACAACATTACATTCTTCCCAACTTTAAAAGATTTCGTCCCCGAAATCAGGCCATACCTGAGGGAGAAAATAACTCTGGATACTTGGAGCGAATCTCCTGTTCGAGCTCCCAAGTAGCCTCCTTAACTCCATGATGCTTCCAAAGAACCTTTACCAACGATATCGTCTTTTTCCTCAACACCTTCTGTTGTGCGTCAAGAATCTGAACTGGTCCCTCTTCGTAGGAAACATCCTCATCAATGTCCACATCAACCCAACTCAAAATATGAGACGGATCTGGCTCATACTTCCGTAGCATCGACACATGAAAGACATTATGAACCCTGTCCATCTGTGGTGGCAATGCTAGTCTGTAGGCAACCTCTCCTACGCAGTCCAAGATCTCAAAAGGTCCAATAAATCGTGGCGACAACTTACCACTCTTCCCGAACCTCATCAACCCCTTCCTTGGAGAAACCCGAAGAAAAACATGGTCTCCCACCTCAAAGGATAGCGGTCATCTCCGCCTATCTGCATAACTCTTCTGTCGGCTCTGAGCTGTAAGCAATCTCTGTCTGATCAGCTTAATCTTCTCGGTAGTCTCGAGTACAATGTCGGGTCCTAAGGCGGTTGTCTTGCCCACCTCAGTCCAACAGACAGAAGACCTACAAGGTCTACCATACAACGCCTCAAATGGAGCCATATGAATACTCGTCTGATAACTATTGTTGTAGGCAAACTCAATAAGTGGAAG